TGATAGGTGTTTATATAAATGGTGTTGTTTTGTGTGGTAGAGGGTCGCTGTCATTGATGCTATTTGCACCCCGGGCCGCTGTTTTGATATTCTCCTGAAGTATACGCTGTGACGTAATATCTCTTCCTTTTTTTTCGAGGGAAGGGGGGTCAGAGGGCCTAGGTATAAAAGTCACGGCTCGCCACTGGTTTTGAAAGAAAAGTTGTGGCTCATCGGACATTTATGAGAGAAAGTCTCTAATGTCCGAGTGCAAGTGAATGCAGCACAAGATGCACGTCATGTAACCCCTCCCCCGGTCCTGGCGCGAGAGTGGAAATATGATTGGTGGCGAATTCACTTGAACGGGGGGACGGCGCAAAACGAGAAGCCTTTCGGAACCAAGCACTGAAGGAATGAGGTAGTTGCGGTCTACAATGACAGAGAAGAGACTGTCAGTTTGGCTGAACTCAGCATTGAATCAAAACGCAATACAGCTGTTGATCTTAATAAGTTTGTGAGGCGTTTTGCTGAACAAAATAGTAATCGCCGCATTCAGCTGTAATAGACATGCCAACTTGATGCTCTGCTCACGGATGACTCGATGAGAATAACAAACTGTTAAGATGATGACCTTGTATGCGTGTATATATTTTTTTCTTTGAGGGGGTCTGCCCCCAAAAAACAGTTTTAAGTCCTGAGAAAGTAAAATAAGACGTGTGTAAAACTACACTGCCCAGCCAACAGAAAGTAACCACTTTGATTTAACTAGGCCAGTAGGTAAGGACCTTCCACTGGATCATAACTGCAGCGATGTTTTAGCTGAATACACGTTTTGTAACCCTAACTGATGCAGTTAGTCACTTCTTTAATGTTTGTTCTTTCTGATGTAAAGTCAAGGTTGTAACTGTATATCAATAATGATATAATTACTTGTTTTTCAAATTTGAAGGAGAGTGAGCAAGCATCTTGATGAAAATTCATCATTAACTCCTCCAAAAAATATAGTTTATTCAATGATAAATGAATATGTGAATCATAACAGTTCTTCACTATATCTGTAAAGCGTCTTTGAGCACCTGTAAAAACGCTAACAAATTAAATCTATTATTATTATTTATTAACACTGTTAATAAATAATAATAATAATAGATTTAATTTGTTCCTAACAGCTGATAGGAACAATATGATTGTTAATAGTATCATATTCATTCAGACAAACATCGATGAGACAGTTAATTAATGTACTTATTGCAGCAGTCTGCATAGATTTGGTACCCCTGCTGGTCTAAGAGTGAAACAAACTCATTCAGTTATTGTTCAGTTAAAATTCATTAAATTACGTCTGCCACCTTGTATGTAAGGCTTTACTGATGTGCCACAATAATATCCCCTATGTGATTGAGTTAAAATATTAATATTGTGGCTTTCCAAGTTAACATTGATTGTAGGGGTGTAACGGTTCACAAACATTTCGGTTCGGTACGTACCTCGTTTTTAGGTCACGGTTCGGTTCGGTACGTTTTCGGTACAGCAGAAAAAATTATCACAAAACATTAAAAACATTTTTTTAATTTGTGTTAAACTGTGACTAATGGATTCAAATAAATACAACATATAGTAAAATAAACATTAAGGTGCAGCATTTCGATGAACTGAAATAATCTGTATTTGAACTGTACTAGCACCTAAGCAGCCAGCTTGACATTAGGACTTGCTTGTCATTGTATTCTCATGTTGTTTAAAGAAAGATGAACTTGTCCACATTGCTTGCTGAAATGGCAGAGCTGCTGGCACTAACAATGTCTCCTGCTGTGGAGAACACCCTCTCTAGGGACAGTGGCAGCAGATACAGCCAGGTAGCGCTTTGCTAACATGGCAACATAAGGATATTTGGCGTTTGTAATAGCTTTGGTTCGGTCTGAACTTTCTGCGAGTGGTGGAGGCTTACATGCTAGTGGGAGTTGGGTTTGCACTTCAGTCTTTTTTCTTTTGGTACCGGTGATATTCACATTCGGGTGATGCCTTTTAAATGAGTGTGATGTATTGCCAGCCGCGTAACCAATGTTAGTTGAACAATGCCGAAAAAACAGCTTTGGTTCGGTCCACCTGTCTTTGTCCGTCATCCTTGTACGTAACTGCGAAACCAAAACGTTCCCAAACCGGAGACTTCAATGATGCTGGAGGATTTTCAGCTCAACTTTATCTGCGTTCGCCATTTCCTCAAATTACTGACTACATTTGAACGCATCCCTGTGACCAGCTCTCATAGTATGCCTCTCGTCCAATGAAATGACTTGGTCGCTCTATGATATATACCTGAGATTACTTCCAGAAAGTTGTTCATGTTCTCAATTTTTTACGTTTAACGCTATATTCGTTCGGTACACATGTGTACCGAACCGAAGGGCCCGTGCCGAATAATTTCAGTACTGGTACGTGTACCGTTACACCCCTAATTGATTGATATGATTGCGATTTAAATAAGCATATACTTCTGTCAGGGGATGCCACCCCTCAAAATCTCCTGCCACCCTCTTGCCACCCCATCAATATTTGTCTAGATCCGCCCCTGCCTACAAATCAAACGTTTGGCAACACTTCGGATTGTTCAAGAAAGACGGTGTAATAGTCCTTTATGCTATATAGTTGACCGCAGGTCATGGAGAGTAATAAGGTATCCGTAGACCTTTGTATGAGGTATCTTTATTACTTAACAGGTCTACAGCCATGATACATAGATCCGTCCTAGATGCAGGCTTGCATACACACAGTATCACTCCGCAGCCGCACCCCATCAGTAACGTCCTGATGGTATATGTGCGCGGCACTATATACTACAGACGGTCAACTTGAAAAATCGCTCGCAAATTGTTAACGATACCGAGCCGCTTTAAAGTACACAAGTAGTACGAGGAACTTAGCGACGCACATAAAGAGGCGACATGGGGTCTGCGGCTGAAAAGATAAACCTGAAAGCTAGACATATGAGTTAAATCACTCAGTGAGGTGTTCTGTCAGAGAGAGTGGTGTTTAGTTTACAGCAGCCTGTGACTGCCAATAATAGTTTAAATGTCTTCCTTACTGTAAGCAGTTATGAAATACCTGTTTGTGAAAGGTTATTTGTATTCTTTATTGTTCATATAGAACCCACTGCTTTCTGCTCACTGGTGAGTTAGCCTATGAATGAGTGTTAAGCACATCAGGCTGGCAGCTGTATGGGCATTGCACTATGGTAGCTGTTATTATCACATTGTTAATCATGAGCAATGCATCCTTACATTGTTGGATGTGGACTGTGAGGTGTTATAGAATTGTACTCTGGAGAGCTTTTAAAGGTAAAACAAATAAACGGCATGATGGGATGTGCAGAACCAAATATGTAAAGCACTTTTTTGTTAATGTATGATTTGCTGCATATAAGGAATAAAACAAAAATCCTCTGTCGTACCATATTGAAGTATCATTATTTTTGCATCGTGTTGAATCGCATCGTATCGCACCAAATCACATAATGTTGAATCAAATCGTATCGAACTGTATCGCAACATGGGTGAATCGTATCGTATCGCATCGCCTGGTGTTTCAAATGTATCGTTAATGTATCGTATCGTGGCAACGTATCGAGATGCGCATCCATCGGCCTCAGTGATGGAGATGCACATCCCTAATACACACACTTTTTTTTAGCTGTACCATAATTCATATATGTTTTTATTTAATTTTGAGGGGGACCTTAGTGCCAAGAATTTCTCTCCATCTATCGAGCATCAATATCTGGATTAAAGGGCTGGTGCAGCATTAAGAGAAGCAGTACTGTTATCTGCAATGCACTCACGTGACATTCTGAAGCAAGGACATCATGCCTAATGTCAATATGTTAAGCATTCATGGATCAGATTGGTACAACCTGCAGTTGTTTTTTTACCATATTGTTTTCCCCCTTCTGTATTCTTGCTTCTTCATTCCATTCCATGACTCAGAATACAAATTAAGTCATGTTCAGGGTTTTGATTTGAATAAGCAATCCCAAAGATTTGCTGTGGGAGTGATCGAACAAGCACATTTCTAAAGGCAACATGGAACTCATGTGAGATTAATTTACACACATATAGCTTTATGAGGGATATGGGCTTTAGGAAAAAGGTGTGACAGAAGAAAAGGAAAAGCTTTTTGGGAATTATTTTCACTGATTTGTATTAGAACAATTCCCCTTTCTCTAGGCTGAATACAGATATTCTATTACTTAGGTATGGTGAATTGAAAGTCCAGTCATTGTGTTTAATGGTACGCCCTGAAATGGCCTTTCCTTGGTTCTAGCAGAGGACAGCATATGGAAAGATACCAACAACAGGGTCACAAAGTATCAAGGACAATCTCTAATTCATTATCAGAGGTAAGAATCCATACTATAACATACGTTGATGTCATGTAGTGAGGACCATTGTGGGTATTCACAACTTGTATTTGTCTGAAAGATATTTCTCTGGTGAGGCCCTCACTGTGTGTTCAATCTTAAAAAGGTTAAAAATATGAATTATTAGAGATATAAATGTACAGTTAAGAGTTGAAACCCACAGAGAAACACAAAGACAACACTTTGTCCAAACACACACACTCCTCTTGGTTTATGTACAATACCCTCCCTAAGCTCTTTATTCATCTGACACTTTTCTCCAAAAACACATTTCTCCTCAAGGAATGCCAATGAAAAGCTTCTATTTAGCATCAATGGTAAACATATCAACATTTGTGGCTCTGGTATTTCACAAAGGAAGCTTTTGATTCAGAGCTTTGAAGACATTGATTCTTTTCAGAACACAACAACACTGAGTGAGGATCTCATGGCCACACAGCCTGGTGCTACATCCAAAGTGTAGAGGCACCATGTGTGATTCATCAGTACATGACTGCAGCCTTTTGATACACTTTGAATACATTTCACAATGTGAAGGATATTAAAGGTTTTATGCAGTACTTTTTATTGCATTAAATAGTTAGATGGGATGAAATGGAATACTCACAGGATGGGCCGACTGAGATGGAGTGATGCAGAAAGGGTTGGAAAAGAAAAGAGGCAGAGAAGGACGAGTGAGTATGCGATGATGGGATCGCTGACAGAATGTAAAGTCTCTCAGTGAGAGTGGACTGCAGGGAAACTGTCTGATATTTAATGAAGTGTTCCCAAAAGAAAGAAGCAGTGGAGCTGCAGGAGGGGTGATGAGCTGAATGTGCACACAGGTGAAGATACGAGCTGGTGGTCTGATTGACCGGGGGGGGGGGGGGGGGCTGGGTATTTCTATTTTCCCTAATCCTGCAGATGCATGCAGGAACCCACAATCAATCTCTGTTTGTCTAACAGATGCTGCTGGGATCACTCCTTCCTACCAGTAATGTGTGTCTGCTGTGGATACAGTATGTGGGCATACACGTTGACAGAGAGTGGGTACACAGTGGAGGGCTTGCTAAAAGAATGAACTGATACAAAATGAGACTCTAAAATTCTCTTTTATCATCACAAATGACAGATTCTCTTCAGAATGCTTCTCTTCATGAACAGACTTTATGAAAATGCTTTTTGATCTCAGCTCTCTCAGAGGGAAGAGTATTTCAGACAAGATATCAACTTAAAGTCTAATCTTCACTTTCTCTCTCTCTCACAGTTTCAGCATGTGTCCAGTGGCATACTAAGGTGAGTTATAGCCAGCCACAATGTATGTCTCCCTGTCTTGTCAAAGATGTCTGTCTTCCTATGGGTCATATTTGTATCTTGGACAATGGTAATGAACAAAGGGAAGACAGTTAAATAGAGCCTGCTGGTAGGTGAGATGTTTTGTGAAACATCATTGCATCACCGTCCATCTGTGAAAATCATTTACATACTCAGTGTTCAAATCTCATGTTCTGCCAGTGCAGAATGGGCTTACTTAGGGTTAACGCCGAGTAAGACTTTTCTTACTTTCTATTATTGAGAAAGATACACTTTATGTAATACATTTACCAAGGTAATGGAAATGAAACATAAGGCACTTGTTCCTTTGTATTAAACTCAATGAGAAGAAGAAACGTTTTGGATGTATATTCTGCTAATCCACTCGTATGCATTCTGTAATGTATTTATCTGAACATGCACATATATATATATATATATATATATATATATATATTTAAAAAATGTCCCAAATTGGGATCAATAAAGTACTATCTTATCTTACCTTATATTTACAATATGTATTTATCTCTATATATCTCAACAGTTTCACCCAATTCCAATATTGGGATTTTAATATTTACTGTTACTTTACATTCTGTATATTGTAATCCTATTATCATTGTGTGAACTCGTGCCTGTCCTTTACTGTGTTTCAATCTTATTTCTGATGCTACTGTACAGTGAATATCACAACTGGACCTTCTGTAGACACACACAACGCCCCCCCAACCCCCCGCCCATCTTATCTTATTTTAACTTATCTGAGCTGTATCATGCTGTGCTGCCCCTGTCAGTCCCTGTGGCTGGAATAGATGCTTCCCCAACAAAGTGAATTGAAGATGAAGGGATGAATACACCACCACTTGTCTCACCGTGCACTTGCAGGCTGCCGGACGCCTCGGCCTTGCCCACGCTGTTCTCAGATACGCAGGTGTACGTGCCCTCGTCCTCGCCTCGCACCTGGGTCAGATGCAGACTGTTGTCGCTGCGTATCTGAAACCTGGAAAGAAGACACTTTTCTGAAAACAACATTTTTGGTCCACTGAGAGAAAAGTTGATGCAGTGCAGGAAACATCTCACAGTATAGCTTTAGGCAGATCTAACTCCAGCTGACAACAACATTAGACCCTGTTTCCCCTGAGGGATCATTAGAGTGTAATACAGTCTGATTCACACTACAGACACTGTGTCACCTTGCAGTAGTCTCATTACTTTCATTATTAGTGACGGCAGGTTCCACAGCTGCCTAAATATGTTGCTTAGAATTTGGTTGATTGTGTCTGTACTTGTTCAGTGTAAATATAAAAGACTATCATGGTTGCTCCATGAAAGCTGGGATTTGTTTCAATGTGTGTCCATTACACCTCCAATAACGGGAAAAAACATCTTCAGTTGTTTTTGTTATTTTGTTTGCAAGACCAAAAAATGCATCCACTCTCTGAAAGTCATATTATAAATTGTTCAACTTGTCTCTGCTTAGCACAGCACATACTGTACATGCAGACTGATTCCATCATCAGAAGCTGTTATATCATCAGTGAAATGATTAATAACCTACGAGCCGCATGTTGTGTTGGTGTAGTGATGCCAGTGTGGTTCTGACAGTGTGGTTCTGACAGTGTGGTTCTGCGTACCTGCCCCGGGGAAACTCCCCCTCCTCCTTCCGCCAGCGGACAGTGGGAGTGGGGTCTCCGTGCACCTCGCAGAAGAAGTCCACCGTGTCCTCCGCCAACACCACCTGGTTCACCGGCTGCTTAGTGAACACTGGCCTCTCTGAAATGAGACAGAGGATGAAGGAGTGATGAAACATTGTGGCACTGAACTTTAATGTGACTGACCCTCCAGGGTAATGAGATCACAGCAGCGTGATACTGTATGATGAACACAAAGTGACCACAGGGAATTCAATGGAGGAAAGTAAAACTTTGAGCAGCACAACGAAACATACTGAAAAAACTGTACGGTTGACTTTAAGTAAATATATTATGTCAACACATTTTATATAACTGTATTAGGTTAGTGGAAAGCAATAATATTAAGTTGAACCTAATATTTGTATTTAAACTTGATACTATTGCTTTCAACTAACCTAATTCAGTTATGTGAAATCTGTTGACAACATACATTTAATTGCATCTTTTTCAGTGCATGTTAACATGATCAAAGAAGAAGGAGGATTTGCATCACAGTTACAGGTCTGATGGCGGTCCAGAACAAGATTACACACATGGGACAATCAATCCGCCAGAGACCAGAGAGACTAATGTGCACGTCAGCTCTTATCATGGTCATAATCAGTTATAAACTGGCATAGCCTCCAGATAGGAGTGCAGATGAGCACTGGCTATAGTCATGCACATTTCACAGATGGCAGTAATATTAAATATAAGGGCAGCGTCAGGTCATACATTTTCAGGAACCATACGCTGATAAATGAAGTTTAACACACTGGGTTAACATGTACTGCTGTGTGTAAGGAGCAGCATCTGGGTGGGGGTGCGGCGGAGGGGGTTTGGAGAGACCGAAAATAAAATATCAATCTTCTATCTGTTTCCTCGGATCAATACACACTTTGAAAACGATTATGCTGCTGAGAGCAAAGCAGGGAATAAGAGGGAAGGAAAGATCAGAGAGGTCAAAGGGCAGTGGGGGGGAAATATCCATCTGCTGCTCCAACATCAGCTGAGGAGTGAAGCCCCTCAGGAGACAGGAAACTGTGAGGCAAATGTGAGGCTTTCAATGAGAACCACTACACATTTCTCATCAGAGTAACATTAAACGCTAGGGATGTAACGATACCAAAAACTCTCGGGACGATACTTTTGCAATAAAAAGTCCACGGTACGATATTTATCGCGATATTGAAAAATAAAGAAAGAACATTTTTTTTTCTTTATTAAATAATACATCTGATTCGTACAGCATTTTAGTAGGATAGTAGTATTTTAAAATGTCAACAATATAATACTCAGACCCTGCAATAGAATAAATAAAGTTTCACTTTAGTTTTTCAAGTAACTCAACTCTAACTCACTCACTCAGCATCATCAAGGTTATCTTTTAGGAATATGAGCATGTCCACATTTCCAGGTAGAAGCTGGGATGTTTGGGCGTTTACAAAATCCCCTGCTGTGGAACAAACTCTCTTGCTTGGTACTGATGTGCATTGTCTCTCCACCACTTCAAAAACAATACAGTGTTTGCCAAGAAGGTGAGGTTTATTGACAGGGCGAGATATAAATATACTGTTGGTACTTGTCAATGTCTCTAGGTGTGTACATGTAGCCCTGTAAATACCATGTCCTTTATTGTTATCTGTTGATTTATGTTCATGTTCTAACCTACTTGCTGCCATGTTGGACAGGTCTCCCTTGAAAAAGAGATCGATGATCTCAATGGGACCACCTGGTTAAATAAAGGTTTTAAAATAAATAAATAAAAAATTCTCACGACGGTATTGAGACATTCATTTACCGCGATATCGCGATATTCGATATATCATTACATCCCTATTGAACGTCCTTCATTCATTCAAGGTCCAATACTTGACATACAATTACAATACAATTACTCTACTTTAGACTAATTACACGGTTATTTAAATACATGTTATAACTTTACTGTATAATCTCAACTGTAAAAATATGGCAGATCTTTGCATATTAAATGAGGTTCCTTGTACTTAAAAATAACCATCCTTTTTACCGCCCACATTTCAGAATTTGTAATGCAATAACAAATAAGATTAGCATAATTTACATTTGTTTAGTTTCCCATGCAGCATTTACAAGTTGAATGTGATGCAGGAAACAAGACTCACCGAACACCACCAGCTCAGCAGGGTCACTGTCTTTCTCCCCCACCATGTTGGTTCCAACACACACATACATGCCAGCGTCACTTTTCCTGGTGTTGGAAATCATCAACTTTCCTCCTCGCATCTGAAAATGAGGAGCATAGGTAGGGATAGAGAGGATGGAGGTACAGAGAGAAGAAGGAGGAAGACCACAAGGGGGGGGGGAGATGGTGGTGGAGGTGGGGGATAAAGGAAGACAAATGGAAAGAGGTTGGAAACAGATATTAAAGAATGTCAGAGACAGATGGCTCTTCGGCTAGTTATTTTGAAAATGGGTCTAGCTCCAACAATGAACATAGCTTCAGTCAGTGATACTAACATGCAATGATTGATTCATTTAGTGCACACACATGCACACTGCCACAGAGCACTGGCTCTTATTTTAGCTGGTTATTTCTAAATCTAATTTTCAAAAAGGATGGGAATGGATTGAGTCTTCATCCTCGTTTATTTTTACAAGAAAACGTTTCAAAATCAATTCAATATATATTTTTTAATAACAGCGGAATAAAACAGCAGCTCAGTAACTTAAAGGTCCCCTATTATACTGTTTTTCCTCAATATATAATAGGTCTCAGACAGAGGTTGCGCTAGACTTTTTCGCTGGGGGGGGGGTGGAGAGACAGTTCACATGCGCCGTGTTATGCCTCGCGGGAGCGTGCACAGCGTAAAGCCAAAACTCAGACATTTCAATGATTTGTACGGCACAGTTAGGTTTGGAAACGATATTATCTCCTTTTTGGAGGGCATGCATAACACGGCATAACACCGGAGCCTCGGAGCCTCGCTGCGGGGACACTTTGGCGCTGTTTCGAGTTTGTTCTAATCTGTCAAAATGACGGACTGCTTCAGATTTGTCCGTCATTGTTAAAAAAAATCCGTCATAGACGGAAAATATTCGGTTAACGCGACCTCTGGTCTCAGATATATACAACACATGTCTCTGAAGTGTTTGGCTCCAAATAACAGATCAATGTAGCATCCCATAATCCCCTCTGTTTCAGCCCTGTTTCCAAAGTGCTGATTCTCTGTCTGTTACTTTAGATGAAAATAAGGAGCCCCTCCCCACGCCCCTCTGAGAGACATTTGGTTACAAAGAACTCAATGGTGCTCTAGGAGGAGATTCAGGTGATAAGGTGGGGGGGGGGGATTACCTTGGTTGCTGATTGGCTAATGGCTACACACGAAAAACATCGTTATGACATCATAAAGTGGCCAAAATCTGATCAGCTCATTTTCAGACAGGTTTTTATAGAAATGGATCAAAAGAGAGAGAATCTTTGTTCCTGAAACTGAGTCTCTTTCCACAGAGGGGACACATGTTGATGTAGTAAGCCAGATGGGACACATGTTGATGTAGATAGACATGTTGATTTGTAGCAGATGACATGAAGAAAGAGGGGACACATGTTGATTGTAGAAGAGACATGGAGAAGAGGGGGACACATGTTGATTGTAGACGAGACATGAAGAAGAGGGGACACATGTTGATGTAGAAGAGACATGCAGAAGAGGGGACACATGTTGATGTAGAAGAGACATGGAAGAAGAGGGGACACATGTTGATGTAAGAAGAGACATGAAGAAGAGGGGACACATGTTGATGTAGAAGAGACATGAAGAAGAGGGGACACATGTTGATGTAGAAGAGACATGAAGAAGAGGGGACACATGTTGATGTAGAAGAGACATGAAGAAGAGGGGGACACATGTTGATGTAGAAGAGACATGAAGAAGAGGGGACACATGTTGATGTAGAAGAGACATGAAGAAGAGGGGACACATGTTGATGTAAGAAGAGACATGAAGAAGAGGGGACACATGTTGATGTAGAAGAGACATGAAGAAGAGGGGACACATGTTGATGTAGAAGAGACATGAGAAGAGGGGACACATGTTGATGTAGAAAGAGACATGAAGAAGAGGGGACACATGTTGATGTAGAAGAGACATGAAGAAGAGGGGACACATGTTGATGTAGAAGAGACATGAGAAGAGGGGACACATGTTGATGAAGAAGAGACATGAAGAAGAGGGGACACATGTTTGATGTAGAAGAGACATGAAGAAGAGGGACACATGTTGATGTAGAAGAGACATGAAGAAGAGGGGACACATGTTGATGTAGAAAGAGACATGAAGAAGAGGGGACACATGTTGATGGAGAAGAGACATGAAGAAAGAGAGGGACACATGTTGATGTAGAAGAGACATGAAGAAGAGGGGACACATGTTGATGTAGAAGAGCATGAAGAAGAGGGGACACATGTTGATGTAAAGAGACATGAAGAAGAGGGGACACATGTTGATGTAGAAGAGACATGGAGAAGAGGGGACACATGTTGATGTAGAAGAGACATGAGGAAGAGGGGACACATGTTGATGTAGAAGAGACATTGAAGAAGAGGGGACACATGTTGATGGTAGAAGAGACATGAAGAAGAGGGGGACACATGTTGATTGTAGAAGAGACATGAAGAAGAGGGGACACATGTTGAATGTAGAAGAGACATGAAGAAGAGGGGACACATGTTGATGTAGAAGAGGACATGGAAGAAGAGGGGACACATGTTGATGAAGAAGAGACATGAAGAAGAGGGACACATGTTGATGTAGAAGAGACATGGAGAATGAGGGAGGGGACACATGTTGATGAAGAAGAGACATGAAGAAGAGGGGACACACATGTTGATTGTAGAAGAGACATGGAGAAGAGGGGACACATGTTGATGTAGAAGAGACATGAAGAAGAGGGGACACATGTTGATGTAGAAGAGACATGAAGAAGAGGGGACACATGTTGATGTAGAAGAGACATGAAGAAGAGGGGACACATGTTGATGTAGAAGAGACATGAAGAAGAGGGGACACATGTTGATGTAGAAGAGACATGAAGAAGAGGGGACACATGTTGATGTAGAAGAGACATGAAGAAGAGGGGACACATGTTGTGTAAGAAGAGACATGGAGAAGAGGGGGACACATGTTGATGTAGAAGAGACATGAAGAAGAGGGGACACATGTTGATGTAGAAGATACATGGAGAAGAGGGACACATGTTGATGTAGAAGAGACATGAAGAAGAAGGGGACACGATGTTGATGTAGAAGAGACATGAAGAAGAGGGGACACATGTTGATGTACGAAGGATGACATGAAGAAGAGGGGACACATGTTGATTGTAGAAGAGACATGAAGAAGAGGGGACACATGTTGATGTAGAAGAGACATGAAGAAGAGGGGGACACATGTTGATGTAAGAAGAGAACCTGATGGAGAAGAGGATCATGCAGAAGAGGGGACACATGTTGATTTAGAAGAGGACCCATGAAGAAGAGGGGACACATGTTGATGTAGAAGGAGACATGAAGCAGAGGGGACACATGGTTGATGGAAGAAGAGACATTGAAGAAGAGGGACACATGTTGATGGAGAAGAACATGCAGAAGAGGGGACACATGTTGATTAGAAGAGACATGAAGAAGAGGGGACACATGTTGATGTAGCAGAGACATGAAGCAGAGGGTGACACATGTTGATGGAGAAGAGACATGAAGAAGAGGGGACACATGTTGAATGTAGAAGAGACATGAAGAAGAGGGGACACATGTTGATGCAAGAAGAGACATAAGAAGAGGGGACACATGTTGATGCAGAAGAGACATGAAAGAAGAGGGGACACATGTTGATGGAGAAGAGACATGCAGAAGAGGGGACACATGTTGATGTAGCAGAGACATGAAGAACAGGGGACACATGTTGATGGAGAAGAGACATGAAGAAGAGGGGACACATGTTGATGGAGAAGAGACATGGAGAAGAGGGGACACATGTTGATGTAGCAGAGACATGAAGAACAGGGGACACATGTTGATGGAGAAGAGACATGAAGAAGAGGGGACACATGTTGATGGAGAAGAGACATGAAGAAGAGGGGACACGTGTTGATGTAGAAGAGACATGAAGAAGAGGGGACACGTGTTGATGTAGAAGAGACATGAAGAAGAGGGGACACGTGTTGATGTAGAAGAGACATGAAGAAGAGGGGACACATGTTGATGTAGAAGAGACATGAAGAAGAGGGGACACATGTTGATGAAGAAGAGACATGAAGAAGAGGGGACACATGTTGATGAAGAAGAGACATGAAGAAGAGGGGACACATGTTGATGTAGAAGAGACATGGAGAAGAGGGGACACATGTTGATGTAGAAGATACATGGAGAAGAGGGGACACATGTTGATGTAGAAGAGACATGAAGAAGAGGGGACACATGTTGATGTAGAAGAGACATGAAGAAGAGGGGACACATGTTGATGTAGAAGATACATGGAGAAGAGGGGACACATGTTGATGTAGAAGAGACATGAAGAAGAGGGGACACATGTTGATGTAGAAGAGACATGAAGAAGAGGGGACATATGTTGATGTAGAAGATACATGGAGAAGAGGGGAGACATGAAGAAGAGGGGACACATGTTGATGTAGAAGAGACATGGAGAAGAGGGGACACATGTTGATGTAGAAGAGACATGGAGAAGAGGGGACACATGTTGATGTAGAAGATACATGGAGAAGAGGGGACACATGTTGATGTAGAAGAGACATGAAGAAGAGGGGACACATGTTGATGTAGAAGAGACATGGAGAAGAGGGGACACATGTTGATGTAGAAGAGACATGAAGAAGAGGGGACACATGTTGATGTAGAAGAGACATGAAGAAGAGGGGACACATGTTGATGTAGAAGAGACATGGAGAAGAGGGGGACACATGTTGATGAAGAAGAGACATGAAGAAGAGGGGACACATGTTGATGTAGAAGAGACATGAAGAAGAGGGGACACATGTTGATGTAGAAGAGACATGAAGAAGAGGGGACACATGTTGATGTAGAAGAGACATGAAGAAGAGGGGACACATGTTGATGGAGAAGAGACATGAAGAAGAGGGGACACATGTTGATGTAGAAGAGACATGAAGAAGAGGGGACACATGTTGATGTAGAAGAGACATGAAGAAGAGGGGACACATGTTGATGTAGAAGAGACATGAAGAAGAGGGGACACATGTTGATGTAGAAGAGACATGGAGAAGAGGGGACACATGTTGATGTAGAAGAGACATGAAGAAGAGGGGACACATGTTGATGTAGAAGAGACATGGAGAAGAGGGGACACATGTTGATGAAGAAGAGACATGAAGAAGACGGGACACATGTTGATGTAGAAGAGACATGAAGAAGAGGGGACACATGTTGATGTAGAAGAGACATGAAGAAGAGGGGACACATGTTGATGTAGAAGAGACATGAAGAAGAGGGGACACATGTTGATGGAAGAAGAAGAGACATGAAGAAGAGGGGACACATGTTGATGTAGAAGAGACATGAAGAAGAGGGGACACATGTTGATGTAGAAGAGACATGAAGAAGAGGGGACACATGTTGATGTAGAAGAGACATGAAGAAGAGGGGACACATGTTGATGTAGAAGATACATGGAGAAGAGGGGGACACATGTTGATGAAGAAGAGACATGAAGAAGAGGGGACACGTGTTGATGTAGAAGAGACATGAAGAAGAGGGGACACATGTTGATGTAGAAGAGACATGAAGAAGAGGGGACACATGTTGATGAAGAAGAGGACATGAAGAAGAGGGGACACATGTTGATGAAGAAGAGACATGAAGAAGAGGGGGACACATGTTGATGTAGAAGAGACATGAAGAAGAGGGGACACGTGTTGATGTAGAAGAGACATGAAGAAGAGGGGACACATGTTGATGTAGAAGAGACATGAAGAAGAGGGGACACATGTTGATGAAGAAGAGACATGAAGAAGAGGGGGACACATTGTGATGAAGAAGAGACATGAAGAAGAGGGGACACATGTTGATGTAGAAGAGACATGGAGAAGAGGGGACACATGTTGATGTAGAAGATACATGAGAAGAGGGGACACATGTTGATGTAGAAGAGACATGAAGAAGAGGGGACACATGTTGATGTAGAAGAGACATGAAGAAGAGGGGACACATGTTGATTAGAAGATACATGGAGAAGAGGGGACACATGTTGATGTAGAAGAGACATGAAGAAGAGGGGACACATGTTGATGTAGAAGAGACATGGAGAAGAGGGGACACATGTTGATGTAGAAGAGACATGAAGAAGAGGGGACACATGTTGATGTAGAAGAGACATGAAGAAGAGGGGACACATGTTGATGTAGAAGAGACATGAAGAAGAGGGGACACATGTTGATGTAGAAGAGACATGAAGAAGAGGGGACATATGTTGATGTAGAAGATACATGGAGAAGAGGGGAGACATGAAGAAAGAGGGGACACATGTTGATGTAGAAGAGACATGGAGAAGAGGGGACACATGTTGATGTAGAAGAGACATGGAGAAGAGGGGACACATGTTGATGTAGAAGATACATGGAGAAGAGGGGACACATGTTGATGTAGAAGAGACATGAAGAAGAGGGGACACATGTTGATGTAGAAGAGACATGAAGAAGAGGGGACACATGTTGATGTAGAAGAGACATGAAGAAGAGGGGACACATGTTGATGTAGAAGGACATGAAGAAGACGGGGACAACATGTTGATGTAGAAGAGACATGGAGAGAGAGGGACACATGTTGATGTAGAAGAGACACTGAAGAAGAGGGGACACATGTTGATGTAGAAAGAGACATGAAGAAGAGGGGGACACATGTTGAGTAGAAGAGACATGAAGAAGAGGGGACACATGTTGATGTAGAAGAGACATGAAGAAGAGGGGACACATGTTGATGGATAGAAGAGGACATGAAGAAGAGAATGAAGAGGGGGACACATGTTGATGTAGAAGAGACATGAAGAAGAGGGGACACATGTTGATGTAGAAGAGACATGAAGAAGAGGGGACACATGTTGATGTAGAAGATACATGAAGAAGAGGGGACACATGTTGATGTAGAAGAGACATGAGAAGAGGGGACACATGTTGATGTAGAAGAGACATGAAGAAGAGGGGACACATGTTGATGTAGAAGAGACATGAGAAGAGGGGACACATGTTGATGTAAGAAGAGACATGAAGAAGAGGGGACACATGTTGATGTAGAAGAGACATGAAGAAGAGGGGACACATGTTGATGTAGAAGAGACATGAAGAAGAGGGAGGGACACATGTTGATGTAGAAGAGACATGAAGAAGAGGGGACACATGTTGATGTAGAAGAGACATGAAGAAGAGGGGGACACATGTTGATGTAGAAGAGACATGAAGAAGAGGGGACACATGTTGATGTAGAAGAGACATGAAGAAGAGGGGACACATGTTGATGTAGAAGAGACATGAAGAAGAGGGGACACATGTTGATGTAGAAGATACATGGAGAAGAGGGGAGACATGAGAAGAGGGGACACATGTTGATGTAGAAGAGACATGAAGAAGAGGGGACACATGTTGATGTAGAAGATACATGGAGAAGAGGGGACACATGTTGATGGAGAAGAGACATGAAGAAGAGGGGACACATGTTGATGTAGAAGAGACATGAAGAAGAGGGGACACATGTTGATGTAGAAGAGACATGGAGAAGAGGGGACACATGTTGATGTAGAAGAGACATGAAGAAGAGGGGACACATGTTGATGTAGAAGAGACATGAAGAAGAGGGGACACATGTTGATGAAGAAGAGACATGAAGAAGAGGGGACACATGTTGATGTAGAAGAGACATGAAGAAGAGGGGACACATGTTGATGTAGAAGAGACATGAAGAAGAGGGGACACATGTTGATGTAGAAGAGACATGAAGAAGAGGGGACACATGTTGATGAAGAAGAGACATGAAGAAGAGGGGACACATGTTGATGTAGAAGAGACATGAAGAAGAGGGGACACATGTTGATGTAGAAGAGACATGAAGAAGAGGGGACACATGTTGATGGAGAAGAGACATGAAGAAGAGGGGACACATGTTGATGTAGAAGAGACATGAAGAAGAGGGGACACATGTTGATGTAGAAGAGACATGAAGAAGAGGGGACACATGTTGATGTGGAAGAGACATGAAGAAGTGGATTTTGCATAATAGGTGACCTTTAATGATGCATTTGGGCTAAGCAAAAATGAATAAATCAATACATACAGTGATCCTCTCATCTCTGTCGTTGACCCGGATGTTGTTTCTCTTCCAGGAGATGGTGGGCTCGGGGTGGCCTCGGGGGGGGATACACTCCATAACAGCCGGCTCACCTGCTGCCACCACCACATCACTGGGCGTCTGACGGAAGTCATCTCTCAGGACTGGGGAAACCAGAAGGGAAAATACATTGTTAAAATATGAATAAACCTCTCTGTTGATGATGCAGTCTTTAATCTGACTTTGCATACATGTATCCTGTTTTTTGTATATACTAAAATCTAGCCTTCTAAAATCATGAAGGCCAAGCAGGTGCAGATTATAAATGATGATAATTCCTCAGTGTGACACAGAGCTGATTTACACAAAGCAGGACAGGACAGTGCTATTGATAGTGCATGATATGAATTTAATATCATGTCCCTATAGGCAGCAAAGCACATCAATAAAGAAGGCTCCTAGCTGTCACACACACAAAGAAGATGACATTATTCAATCTGACCCCCTCAACCCACACACACACACACACACACACACACACACACACACACACACACACACACACACACACACACACACACACACACACACACACACACACACCACACACACACCACACACACACACACACACACACACACACACACACACACACACACACACACACACACACACACACACAAGTCAGTATTCAATAGCACAAAATAATCAATGATATGAACCGCAGGAGGAAATATGTAATCCACAAAAACTCTCCTCTGTTTTCCTTGAGGCTTGTCTTCTTTCTGCAGTCTACATTGTGTGGCTGTGTACCTGAAGGCATTTTCTTCCAGGATTTTTCTTTCTCTCATTCCAGTCACCAAAGCTGTGTGGCTTCTCATATTACAGGTATGGATGATGCTATTGTGTTCCCTAATGATGATCTGACAGTGTACCAGGAAGAGGCCACAGCCCCCAGGCTCAGTGTGGCCTAAGCCCCCCCTCAGACGCACAAAGGGGAAAGACCATCACACCCAACCATGGTTTCTATGGAATCTATAGGGCCTCAAAAAGTTGTCATAACTGATCTGAAAAGCACCGCCAGCAACACAAATAAATCACATCACAATCTTTCCCAAGCAATTATTCAAAAAAGTCCAAGGGCAAGCATCAAATGGTAAAATTATGTGTCAAAAAATTCACTAGTCAACATGTATGACTAGAAAACTGGTTGCACGTACATGTCAATAGTAAGTCATTGTGTTGAACTAGAGAGAGGAAAACCACAACTAGTGGGATGAAAATATCCACTAGTTTAAGAAAAAGCCATACATGTTGAATCAATATCTAACTAGTTGCATACAGTTGCTCACTAGTGCAAAAAAAGCCAAACTAGTTGAAGGAAAGGTCTTACATGTAAGAAAAATGTGTAACATGTACGGTCAAAGTTTATAACAGAACCTGACTAGTGAGAAGAAATGCCCTCCACTAGTTAACTAGTAAGAAAAACATCAGTGTCACTAGTTTACTAGTGACTCCTCTAAGGCCTCACTAGTTAACTAGTGAGATAAAGTGTGTGTAACTAGTTAGCTAGTAAGGTCAAAACAATTGTATGGCAAGCCATTTGAGTATTTATTCAATTTCCTTGATATCAGACGGCAGCGGACTATGGCAAGCCATTTGAGTATTTATTCAATTTCCTTGATATCAGACGGCAGCGGACTACACTAGTTGGCTCTTTGATTTCACTTGTTAGATATATGGTCAAACTAGTCAGGCACTCTGCTTTACTAGTTGAATAAAACATTTCACTAGTCGCTCTTTTTCAGCAACTAGTGGCACTTTTGTCCGACTAGTTAACACGTATGCCTTACTAGTGACGCCAGGAGCAGCACTAGTAGCACCAAAGTCCCAACGTGTAAGCTTTTTGATGAACTAGTGGCCCTCTGACCGTACTAGTGACCCTAAAAGTCTTACAAGTTAACTAGTGCGCTGCAAAATCTCTGACATGTTAACTAGTCACACAAAAGAAGCACAACTAGTTAACTAGTGGCAAACATTTGTCTGCACTAGTTAACTAGTCGCACCCAGAATCACTCACTAGTTAACTAGTAAAGGCAAAATGTTCACTAGTTAACTAGTTGACGCCTCTTTTGACCTTACTAGTTAACTAGTGGGGCTCAAAATGTCTACACGTTAACTAGTGAACCCTTTGCCTTTTACTAGTTAACTAGTGAGAGAAGTTTAAATTCCACTAGTGAACTAGTGAGGCTTAAAATGTTCACTCGTAGCACTAGTGGATCCCAAATGTGCACTAGTCACACTAGTTGCACAGAATGCTAATGAGGAGGAGGGGAAAGAACGCATCAAGGTCTCCTATTGGCCCTAAGCTATAGAGCGCCACCCAGCCCAAATAGTTTATTTAAGAGCTTAAATACACAGTGTTTTAAAATATGACCATATTTACACAAATATAAAACAAAAGTATTTGTGTTATTATGATCATATGACTCTTTATCAAATTAGGTAAGAACATTGAAGACTTTCTTAAAATTAGAAAGTTGCCTTAGGACTGCAGACACGAATATAGATCCTCTTTAAAACATTGTATTAAGCTGCAATTTGAAAGGTGCTGGATTATAATGGCATTGTGATAAAAGAGTGACATTATTGATGGATTGAAAGAGGAAGTAACCCTCTTCGGATCACAGCTTTGAGAGATCGCCGTGACTTCCGTAAATATTAGTCTTGGCAAATATGGAGAGGTTGTTTATCTTCATACGGATCTATCGTTACCCTGATTTTAAGATCTGTCCAGTGTTTCTGATTTATTAATGAGCACCGCTTATAAAATGTCCCACGTTCATATACTTTTGTGTCTCGAGTGCCGGTGTTCTCACACACAAGCGTGCACACATTCGCACCAACAAAAACACACACACAAAGCGGAATATAGCAGAAGCAGAAACATGTATATTTCTAGGTAAAACACACACTGACTGACTTCCCACGGACAATATGTTAACAGTAGGCACTAAATACCCGACTGATGCAACTCACGTCTTCAAGACGTTACTAAAAACATCGCAGGAGAACGCCCCCTCAGGCTCTCCCTCACAGAGCTGAACTGACCAATCAGAATCTGGGTCCCGCCTGCTTCATTTGCCTATGGCTGACTAGTTAACGTGTTGGCCATATGAACGGCAACTAGTTAACTAGTGGATACCTATTGCAGCTTACACGTTAACTAGTGAAGGCAAAATGTTCACTAGTTAACTAGTTGAAGCCTGTTTTGGTCTTCTAAGCTGACTAGTGAGGCTCAAAATGTGCACTAGTTAACTAGTGAGGTCCAAATTGTCCACTAGATGCACTAGTACAATTGTTTTTACCTTACTAGTTAACTAGTTACACACACTTTATCTCACTAGTTAACTAGTGAAGCCTTAGAGGAGTCACTAGTGAACTAGTGACACAGATGTTTTTCTTACTAGTTAACTAGTGGAGGGCATTTATTCTCACTAGTGAGGTTATATTATAAACATGTTAGTATGGCAAGCCATTTGAGTATTTATTCAATTTCCTTGATATCAGACGGCAGCGGACTACACTAGTTGGCTCTTTGATTTCACTTGTTAGATATATGGTCAAACTAGTCAGGCACTCTGCTTTACTAGTTGAATAAAACATTTCACTAGTCGCTCTTTTTCAGCAACTAGTGGCACTTTTGTCCGACTAGTTAACACGTATGCCTTACTAGTGACGCCAGGAGCAGCACTAGTAGCGCCAAAGTCCCAACGTGTAAGCTTTTTGATTAACTAGTGGCCCTCTGACCGTACTAGTGACCCTAAAAGTTTTACAAGTTAACTAGTGCGCTGCAAAAGCTCTGACATGTTAACTAGTCACACAAAAGAAGCACAACTAGTTAACATGTCAGAGATTTTGCAGCGCACTAGTTAACTAGTCGCACCCAGAATCACTCACTAGTTAACTAGTAAAGGCAAAATGTTCACTAGTTAACTAGTTGACGCCTCTTTTGACCTTACTAGTTAACTAGTGGGGCTCAAAATGTCTACACGTTAACTAGTGAACCCTTTGCCTTTTACTAGTTAACTAGTGAGAGAAGTTTAAATTCCACTAGTGAACTAGTGAGGCTTAAAATGTTCACTAGTAGCACTAGTGGATCCCAAATGTGCACTAGTCACACTAGTTGCACAGAATGCTAATGAGGAGGAGGGGAAAGAACGCATCGAGGTCTCCTATTGGCCCTAAGATATAGAGCGCCACCCAGCCCAAATAGTTTATTTAAGAGCTTAAATACACTGTTTTAAAATATGACCATATTTAAACGAATATAAAACAAAAGTATTTGTGTAATTGTGATCATTGTATATCAAATTAGGTAAGAACATTGAAGACTTTCTTAAAATTAGAAAGTTGCCTTAGGACTGCAGGCAGGAATATAGATCCTCTTTAACACATTTTATTAAACTGCAATTTGAAAGGTGCTTGGATTAGATTAGCATTGTGATAACAGAGGGACATTATTGATGGATACAACGAGGAAGTAACGCTCTTCGGATCACAGCTTTGAGAGATCGCCGTGACTTGCGTAAATATTAGTCTTGGCAAATATGGAGAGGTTGTTTATCTTCATACGGATCTATCGTTACCCTGATTTTAAGATCTGTCCAGTGTTTCTGATTTATTAATGAGCACCGCTTATAAAATGTCCCACGTTCATATACTTTTGTGTCTCGAGTGCCGGTGTTCTCACACACAAGCGTGCGCACATTCGCACCAACAAAAACACACACACAAAGCGGAATATAGCAGAAGCAGAAACATGTATATGTCTAGGTAAAACACACACTGACTGACTTCCCACGGACAATATGTTAACAGTAGGCATAAATACCCGACTGATGCACCTCACGTCTTCAAGACGTTGCTAAAAACATCGCAGAAGAACGCCCCCTCAGGCTCTCCCTCAGAGAGCTGAACTGACCAATCAGAATCTGGGTCCCGCCTGCTTCATTTGCATATATAGGCTCACTAGTGAACGTGTATGGCCTTCACGTTCACTAGTGAGCCATATGAACTGCAACTAGTTAACTAGTGGATGCATATCGGTCTCCTATTGGCTCTTAAGATAGACCTCGCCCATCAATCTTCACAGAAGTTCAAA